TCAGGCTTATTAAATATCACACCTACCCAGAATACAATGCCTGTAAGTGACTCATTATGAAGGTCTCATGAGGTGAAAATCCGCCTGCAGGTAACACGCCATATCTGGGTATTCCAGTTGGATCCACATTCTATAAGATGATACAAGATGGATACAGAATGAGTGAGCCTGTGTTTGCCCCAAGTGAAGTGTAAGAGAATTTGACCTGTCTATAAACGGTTCAGTGTTTTATATTTATGGCATGCACACTATTCATTCAAAAGTTTGGGGTTGGTAAGAAATTTCTCGCAAGTGTGACTTTTTTTCTTAATATAAACTTGCAATTGCAAGAAAAAAGTCAGAATTGTAAGAAGAAAAAAAAGTCTCAATTGCCTTTTTCACATTATTCTGTTGCGGAAAAAAAAAAAAAAAATGTAAACCCAGAATTCACAGAAAAAAAATTCAGAATTGTGAGTTATAAACAACCGCCTTTTAGATTTTTTATAATGTGGCATAAACGGATTTCCATACAAAGCTGAATTTTCCACAGCAATTACTCCAGTCTTCAGGGTCACATGATCCTTCAGAAATCATTCCAATATAGTGATTTGGTGCTCAAGTAACATTATTATCAATGTTGAAAACAGTTGTGCTGCTTAATATTTTATGGAAACCGTGGTGCATTTTTGAAGGGTTCTTTCATGAATTGAAAGAACATTTATTTGAAAAATAATTTTTTAGTAACATTATAAATGACTTTTGTAACAATTAAAATGATTTAATGCGTCCTGGCTGAATTATTATAAAGTATTAATTTCTTTTAAAAAAAATGACTGACCTCTTTTGTAGGTTATATCTGTGTCTGATGCACATGATGACAAGGCATTTGTGTTTGTGTTTTCAGTTACGAGGTAATGAGATGGTGTTGGAGTGCTGACCCTCTGAAGAGACCAACCTTCAAGAAACTGGTGGAAAGGACTGAACTCCTGCTGTCGGAAACCACCAAACATGTACGTTTTGACTCAGCTTAGCTCAAAATTTGCGTGCATTGAACCAGTTTCTTCGGTTACTGCAGGTTTACAATTGTGCCTTGCAGGATTACTTGAATCTCAGCACTAGTGGCAGCTGTGAGGCGTTTGTTCCTCCAGGCCTGCAGAGGGCACAAAGACTGAGTTCTGTGGGCAGCTCGACAGCCTCAACTCAACCCCTGCTGCAGGCAACAAATGATGTTTTTCTGGCACATCAGAGCATGTAAATGACATCTCGTTCCTTGTTTTGCCTTGTTTACTCAATAGGTTTGACCTAAAAGCCTTATCCTCCATTTAAGTTCTAACTGTAATTGTGGCATTTAAGGGCATCTCCTGCTCTCTGTTTGGCTCAATGCAACTCCATTAGCCTCATCTTCCATTATATTTCAAATTACTCAAGACACAGCATGTCCAGCCTTGTAACTGTTAATGTATTTTTCTAAATGCAGCTGGGCTCCATTTTATGGTATTGATCTACATAGTATTTTGAGTGCATGAGCAGCTAACGTGGCCAGACAAGCATTTAGATATAGAACCAAATGTTACCTCATCAGATAAATGACCAGCTCTACCGATTACATCATTGTGTAGTGACCTGTGATGATGTCGTGTTGTGTATTCTTTTGTCTTTGACCGGGTGTACAACTGCAAGTACGTCTTGACTGAACAGTAAGGTAGGTTAGTGGTAAAGATACTGAACCCAAGGTGATTCCTGTTTAATGTGTCACTATCTGAAGCACTTAATACCAACAAATGGAGGTTCTCGTTCATGCATTTGTACTATTTTCAGCATGCGATTACTCTCAAGTGAGTGTTATATTGCATTAATGTATCTATGAGATCCCCATCTCAGCTTCAAGTTGTACTTACTGGTATAACTGTCATATTTATTAATAACCTAGGATGAGTTTACATTGTTTTTTGTTTGAGTTTGGAATTGAAATTTTGAGCTGTTGAGAATGTGTA